CCCCAACAGTCTGTTACAGGCTATACGGGAGATGATTGTTATATATACAGTATATAGTAATGGAGAGCTGTATTGTAGTGGTTTCGATTACCGATTGGTGGTATTGGAACCCGTCCAGAGCTTCCCCCTAGGCAGAGCCAGCCTTAAATGTGTGCCTTAGAGTGCGCGTGAAACGTGAACCGTGTGGGTGGGGGGGTGTGTGCTGGGCGTACAGGTGTGTGTGTGCGTGTACATATAAACACACCTGGTTCAGCATTTGTGTACCCATTTACACAAAGACCTCCAGTGTAGCCAACGCCACCCTTGACCGCCTTTGTATCCCCAGTGCTGACATTTATACGCGGTGCCAGGTACTCGTCTGAGTCGGATACAGACACGCACGCACGCGCTCACCTGTTTGGGGGATGTTTCATCTTTTCGCATCGCCTCGCTCGACTCATCCTCGCGTTAGCGTCTTCATTTTCATCTTCACACTTCATCATCCCCACGTCCCCAACGTTTTAATTCCCGGCGCGCCCCCCCCCCCCCCCCCAATGTTTCCTCCCACCCTCCACAGGTAACCACACTCCATCAGCTGTCGTTCTTATTTATTTAATCTCGCTGCCCCCCCGCCCCCCCCTCCCCCTGTGCAGGTGACGGTGTTCGCCCCGGACGTGTCGCAGCAGCACGTGGTGGACCACGCGAGCGGCAAGGAGCAGAGCGGGGAGACGGAGCGGAACGTGATGCGCGAGAGTTCGCGCATCGCGCGCGGCGCCGCGCGGGACCTGGCGCAGCTCCGCGTCGCCGACTTCGACGCGCTGCTCGTGCCCGGTAAACAACAACAACAACGACCACCACCACCACCACAGTAATACACAAGGTCGACGAGCAATAGGAGCAGCGCCCACGCTCCAGTCTCTATACTTGCTCTACACGCACCGATGATTGCTCAAGTCCCAGATCGGGGAGCGTGTTCATTCACGTGAACATCGAGACGACGTTTCGGATATGGCGCCTCATTAATTGCATGCACATCACGCCCCAAGAGAATAGCCTTGAGACTGGAGGAGGCTTTAGTGGCTCAATGAACCACACATCGTTACCTCTCCTCTCACCCCCCCCTCCCCGCTCTCCAGGTGGGTTCGGCGTGGCCAAGAACCTGAGCTCGTGGGCCTCCGAGGGCGCTCGCTGCTCGCTGCTGCCGGGCGTGGAGGCGGCGCTGCGCGCCTTCAGGGAGGCGGACAAACCCGTGGCGCTCTGCTGCATCGCCCCCGTGCTGGCCGCGAGGCTCTTCCCGGGATGCGAGCTCACGGTCGGGGGCGACAGCGAGCAGGGGGGCAGGTGAGAGGGGCGGGGCGCGGGGGGGGAGAGGGGCGGGGCGCGGGGGGGGGAGAGGGGCGGGGCGCGGGGGGGGGAGAGGGGCGGGGCGCGGGGGGGGAGAGGGGCGGGGGGCGAGGGGCGGGGGGCGAGGGGCGGGGCGCGGAGGGCGAGGGGCGGGGCGCGGAGGGGGAGAGAGGGGCAGAGTATGGGGGGGGGGCGGAGGGAAGGGATGGAGGGGGTGTTAAGAGGGGCTGGTGCAGGTGAGAAGGTATTGTGATAGCAACGGCTTTGAGCCGCCTTCATTCAGCAGTGGATAGATCATAGATTAAACGAACAAGAACACTCGCACGTACTCCTATAAGTCTGTGAACAAACATGTGCCAGTAGACGTGAGTACACACACACGTGTACACACACACGTGTACACACACACGTGTTCACACACGCGTCCCCCCCGTCTCACGGCGTCTCCCACCCCCACGTGCGCCAGGTTCCCCTACGCGGGCACGGCCGCCGCCATCCGCGAGCTGGGCTGCACGCACGTGTGCACGGACGTGGGCGAGGCGCACGTGGACACCAAGCTGAAGATCGTGACCACGAGCGCCTTCATGTGCGCCACGGCGCCCATCCACCACGTGTACGACGGCGTCGGCGTCATGGTGCAGGAGATGCTCAAGCTCGCGTGAGCGGGCGGGGAGAGGGGGGCGGGGGTCAGAAGGTGGGGGCGCTGGTGACCCCCACCCAGCCCCCCCCCCCCCCCCCCCCCCCAAATGTTCTTCCGCTGACCCAGATCCTCTCCTATCCTGATCACGGGTGTTTAGTGTTGCTGCTGTTGTTGCCGTCTGTGTCTTTGCTTCTCGTGAATAAAGTTATTGCGCTGCACCGAAGGTCGTAACCGTGTTTGTGTGAGCGCGCGCGTGCGGCTCCTCGCTGTGGCGATCGCAGCCAGAGGCCTCCAGGGGATGGAGTGGGTCACGTGATACGCATTGCCATACCACTCGCATGAATATATCATAAAGGCCCGGCGTTCCGTTTGTCCGTCAACTATATTATAAGAGCTTTTCAGAGAGCCTGAATCAAAAATGTATAGCCACCAACCCCATCATAGGCATCCACACCATCACAGCCACCAGCCCCATCATAGTCATCAACACCATCATAGCCACAAACCCCATCATAGCCATCAACCTCATCATAGGCACCAACCCCATCATAGCCATCAACCCCATCATCATAGCCATCAACCCCATCATAGCGATCAACCCCATCATAGGCACCAACCCCATCATAGCCATCAACCCCATCAGAGCCACCAACCCCATCATAGGCACCCACTACCATACTGTATTGAAGACGGATCATGCTTGCATGTGGCCATGCAACCAAAACTATGCATTATGTAGTAGTCGAAGTAGTAAATTCGCAGAGATACACAGAGACTCAATAGAGATGCATAGATACACGTAACGATGCTGTACAGGAATATGCATTAGAGACGTGCGACTGTTGCACTTTGTTTTGATGGAATGTTGTCATATTGATGACCCGGGCCCCTCGAGGTAACGCGACTCAACCTGGTCTCTTGAGTTCTCACCTGGTTAAACAGAATAAATGGGAGACTGGAAGCCATGTCATGTTGTGTTGTCCATGGTGTAGTTTTGCATCGAGCTACGACTCGTATCTCACAGACAGAGAGAGAAATTGGGACCTGTTTTGCCAGTATCCCATTTTGTAGCTGCTCATCTCGAGCTATAAATAATCTAATAGTGGCATTGCCGTTGTACTGTTCGCCTTTTGACGTTCTCTGATCTGACACTGGTGGTGAGATTAGGCCCTAAAGAAGGCCGGTCTCTGATGCAGGCCCATCGGTTTCAAAGACAATGCCCATATGTTAATTATCAGAGCCTCCCAGGAGGCCGTGTGGGGCTAATGGGATGTGTCTAAGGTTCATTCGTTTGTTTTATTACGTGGAAGGACTGGCGTGGGAAAGATGCGCACATTGCTTATCTGTGTTACGAATTAAACAATATATAATTATTGTGTAACACTGCTGCGTTGGCAGTGGTGCACAATCACAATGAACGCAAAACTAAACACGTTTGTCAGGAACACTGCCGCAAAAATAACACACAATCGTCACCGTTTCGGGCAATGGCTCTCTGCTATGATGATGATGAAGAAGATGAGGTGCGATTAAGTGTTGCTCCGAGGAAGTAGCGTAACGAGCGTGGGGGGAAGGGAAGTTGGGGTGCCTTGCCCCCCACAAACTCCCCCCCGGCAAAAGCTACGAGTTCGGGCCCCCCTTGACAACAACCACGAGGTTTGTTTTCAACAGCAGTGGAAAAAAAGAGCGACGCTTATTTAAAACGCGGTTTATAATGTTTGAGAGCGTGAGCGTAACGATGCCGATGAGGCAAGAGGTGTCGCTATATACGTACTGAATAGCCTCCTCGCTGCGAGACAAATCAAACATTGGGGTGCCCCACCATGACCGATTGTTACACCCCCTGAGCTGATGATGGAGTTACCACGCCACTGTTACGAAGAGACCCCTGCACGGCCAGTGGAGTGAGCCATGATCCTCGGTAGAGAGGCAGTGGGACCCGTGCCCACCTCAACCTCACCCAGGCGAACACCAACACTGTCGTCGACGACGATGATGACGATGGTGATGGTACACCGTATCAATTCATCGTGTTTCTATGGGATTATAACATTTGAGCAAGTCTTGACTTAAAGCTTTCGTGACTGCAGGAATTCATGTTCTTTGGGTCTTTCGGTAAAGTCACGTAGATAGGTTCAAAGAAAATAACAAAAATCGTAACTTGTTATGTTTTGTTATTTTCTTTGAACCTATCTGCGTGACTTTACCGAAAGACCCAAACAATTTGAGCAAGCGTCGAGGGAAGCCACCTCAACCAATCCTCCCCTCGTCATTACTCAGGACGAATCCACTCTCTGTCTACGAGTGTGTCGACACGAGGTGTAGAGGCGAGGAGGTGGTTGAGGTCAGATATGATGGAGGGAACTTGAGCCATGCTCAATTTCCTTGTGGATCAGTTTCCGATTAACAGCGACTCCTGTTATCCGCGGGCCTGTTTATCCAGATAGTTAACCGCCGCTTTCGATTTCTAGAGATTTTTCGTCACGGATAACGGCGAGGGGTAGCGCCTGAAATTCATTCTGCAATCCGCGGGGTTAAACCGCGATCGTTCTTTTTTTTTTTGGGGGGGGGGGGGGTGTTACCTCGCGGTTTCGGGGGAGTGAGGTCGCGTAGTCAAGTAATTGTATTTATTTTATCTGCTACACAGCCGGATAATACGACAAATCGCTAACCTTAAACACCCAGTCGTTCATAAAAAAAAATCTGTTTGCACAGTCACATAGTCACTTTAAGATGTTTTCTTGTTCATGTTTTTGTTTTTTGTTTGTTGCGGTTGCACCCGATCAAGAGGCGAATGGCTCACAGGGCTATACCAAATAAATGAAACTGAAACAGTATAGGACTATAGTAATAGGGCAAGTGCATAATCACTGAACCGGAATTGTTCGCTTGAAAGCATTTAGCGCGGGGGCCCTTGAAAGTACGGGGCCCCGTAGCACGTGTAGCTACTTTTGCTACTAGGATAATCCGGCACCGCCTCCGCCGTGTCTCCGCGGGTATGAGGAGTGTCTTTTCTATATGCGGAGAGTCGACCAAGTCACGTTTTCATCAAATATTTTATTATCATAAAATCATGAGTTATACACCGCTCACGATGACACGTTTATATACATCCACACCAATAAAATCCTCTTCTCACAATTCAAATATCATGAGAAAAAAACAAACACCAACTTGTACCCATCTCATTATTATCTACCTACTATTTTAAATATTTTAAAAACGAAATTCGTGCTCTTGTACGCTCATTTGGTTTTTCATCCACGCCAGTTGCGGTTCGCCGATGTAGCTGAAGCAAACTTCGCTACACAGAAGGCGAGTGCGAGACGAGCAAAGGACGCTGGGACACAGCAGTCGAAATCGGGTCAAGGTTTTTTTTCCGCTTAAGCAAATGCTGCCGGGTATAACATTGGTCCGACAGGCCGATGGAGCTCGATGTGATTTATAGTGAAACTGCACGATTGTATCCGCTCTCTCTCTTGCAATGAACACATCTATAAATTGCAGTCCACTTCGCGTGAACTCAGCCAACAGCTGAGATACCAGCAGCTGTGACCAGGTCGGAAATTCCCCAGAACCTGCCCGAAACGCGGGACCCGCCCGCCAGACCATATGCACGCTACAGAATATGTATACTGTATACATATACTTATGCTGCAGTATAAGTATACTGTAACTGTGTACTTCAGTCATTTTATATACTGCAGTTGATTGCCTCTCGCTCTCCCTATTTTTGACAAATAAATTACAGAAATGCACGTGAGTGCATTGAAGATAAATCCTCAGCACCTGAGGTCCCCCTATCACCCCTCCCAGTGCAGGAGGCGTCAAGCAGCTCTCCCCCCCCCTCTCTCCATCCCCCCTCCCTCCCACACCCCCCGCTCCTCTTAATACAGGAGGCGTCAAGCAGCTCCCCACCTCTCTCCCCACCCCCCTCCCTCCCCCCTCCCCCCTCCCCCGCTCCTCTCAGTGCAGGAGGCGGCAGATCTCGGAGGCGTCGCTCAGCTCCTCGACCCCCTCCAGGAGCGCGGCAGCGGCCGCCGCCCTCGCTTCGCCGACGCCGCCCTCGGCCGCGTTCCTCGCGAACTTCCCGAGCAGCGCCTCGCGGCCCAGCGGCTGCCGCCAGTGGCCCAGGAAGGAGTCGCAGCGCGCGGACACCTCGAGGCCGCGCACCGAGGCGCTCGCCTCGGCGTACATGAGGGCGAAGCTCGGCACGTTGTCCCGCGGGTGCTCGAGGCGCGTCCGCTCGAGCAGGGAGCGCAGCGCGGGGCGGCAGCGCGCGGGGGCCTCGAAGGAGGCGCGCGTCACGGCGCCGTCCAGGAGCGCCGAGCAGCCCACAAACTGCGGGGAGAGGAGGGAGAGGAGGGGTGAGTGTGGAGATGGGGGAGGGGGTGTAGAGGGGGGGGGGGGGGTGCGGGGGTGGGGGAGGCAGAGAGCCGAGGGAGACGAGGAGGTTGAGCGGGAGACGCGTGCAGGTGTTGCTGGTGAGTGTACAGGTGAGTGTACAGGTGAGTGTACAGGTGAGTGTACAGGTGAGTGTGCAGGTGAGTGTGCAGGTGAGTGTACAGGTGAGTGTACAGGTGAGTGTACAGGTGAGTGTACAGGTGAGTGTACAGGTGAGTGTACAGGTGAGTGTGCTGGTGAGTGTACAGGTGAGTGTACAGGTGAGTGTACAGGTGAGTGTACAGGTGAGTGTGCTGGTGAGTGTACAGGTGAGTGTACAGGTGAGTGTGCTGGTGAGTGTACAGGTGAGTGTACAGGTGAGCGTACAGGTGAGTGTACAGGTGAGTGTACAGGTGAGTGTGCTGGTGAGTGTACAGGTGAGTGTGCTGGTGAGTGTACAGGTGAGTGTACAGGTGAGTGTACAGGTGAGTGTACAGGTGAGTGTGCTGGTGAGTGTACAGGTGAGTGTACAGGTGAGTGTGCAGGTGAGTGTGCAGGTGAGTGTACAGGTGAGTGTGCAGGTGAGTGTGCTGGTGAGTGTACAGGTGAGTGTACAGGTGAGTGTTGCTGGTGAGTGTGCTGGTGAGTGTGCAGGTGAGTGTGCTGGTGAGTGTACAGGTGAGTGTGCTGGTGAGTGTGCTGGTGAGTGTGCAGGTGAGTGTGCTGGTGAGTGTACAGGTGAGTGTGCAGGTGAGTGTGCTGGTGAGTGTGCTGGTGAGTGTGCTGGTGAGTGTACAGGTGAGTGTGCTGGTGAGTGTGCAGGTGAGTGTGCTGGTGAGTGTACAGGTGAGTGTGCTGGTGAGTGTACAGGTGAGTGTGCTGGTGAGTGTACAGGTGAGTGTACAGGTGAGTGTTGCTGGTGAGTGTGCTGGTGAGTGTACAGGTGAGTGTGCTGGTGAGTGTGCAGGTGAGTGTGCTGGTGAGTGTACAGGTGAGTGTGCTGGTGAGTGTGCTGGTGAGTGTGCTGGTGAGTGTGCTGGTGAGTGTACAGGTGAGTGTGCTGGTGAGTGTACAGGTGAGTGTGCTGGTGAGTGTACAGGTGAGTGTGCTGGCGAACTTGCGGATGAGTGAGCGCCCAGGTGAGAGCACATGCGAGTGAATGCAAGGGTGAGTGTACATGTGAGTGTGCAGGTGAGTGTACAGGTGAGTGAGTGAGCGCGCAGGTGAGCTCGCCCGCTCCCTGGCAGCTGGCCCGCACCTGGAAGGAGTGACGCGCCTCGTGTTCGTCCGCGGGGAAGGCGCGATCCACGTAGGCGCTGCGCGGCACGTGCAGCACGAGGCTCTCGATGAGCGCCGTGTCCACGTGGCCCCCGCACACCGAGGCGATTCGCTCCCGCAGCGCGCACGCCGCGTCCGCCACCCAGTGCGTGCCCAGGTGCGCGGGGAAGCGCTGTGGGGGGAAAGGGCGGTGGAGGGGGCACGTGAGGTCACGAGGTCATGGGGGCGATGGGGCCACCAGTCCCATGCAATGCTACAGACGTCTGCGTGCGTGTGATGACAGTAGGTGCTCGCTAACAGCACTTGCCCCAACAGTCTATTCAGGCTATGCGGGAGATCTTTGTCGTTGTTATGGTAGTGGGGAACACAGGTGGTGCATCCGCAAATCATCTCAGCTGAGAGGTTCAATCCGTGTATCGGGGTTGGTGGGACGCGCGCATTTACAGTGGACCATCTCTAAATGGATCTCCCCGTGTTCATCTCCCCCTGCCAAGAGCGTTCCTCGCAACCCCCCCAGCACGACACTCGCCCCGCCCCCCCGCTCACCCCCCACCCGCGCCCCTCACCTTGAAGGCGACGTCCTGCTGCTCCAGCAGGAGGGGGGCCCCCCCGCATGGGTCCAGCGGGGTGCGCGGGGTCTCGTAGTCGGGGTAGAAGGCCCCGAAGCCCCTCTCGGCGAGGTCGAACATCGCCTCGTTGGCGTGGAGCCCCGAGGCCGCGAGCGCCGCCGCCTCGAGCCCCATGCGCGCCGCGTGGCCCGCGTGCAGCGGCTTGGCCTGGGTGGCCGCGTTCGCCAGCGGGGCGCCCGCGAACGACGCCGCGATGGCGAGGGCGTGGAGGCACCGCGCCTCGTCCAGCCCCAGCAGCCGCGCGCAGCCCGCGGCCGCGCCGATCGTGCCCACCACGGTGGGGGGGTGGAACCTGGACCAGGGGAGGGGAGGCGATTAGTGGGGGGGGGTGGGCGCAGGGGTGGAGGGTGAGTGTGGGTGTCACTGTGTGTAGCCCACTGTGTGTCTGCTTGTTTGTGTCTCCGTGTGCCTGTATCTGTGTGTCTGTCCCAATGTGTCTGGCCCAATGTGTCTGTCCCAATGTGTCTGGCTCAATGCCACCCACTCCCTCGCGCGCCGTGCCGGACTTCATATTGTCTCGTCAACAGCACTTGCCCCCAAGGTCTGTTCAAGGCCATACGGGGGATCTGTGTCTTTGTCTCAATCTCTGTGCGTCCGTCTGTGCGTGAGTGTGCGCGCATCTCTGTGCCGGGTCCGTGTGACGCTTTACGCGTCTGGCCGCACTCTCGCCCGTCCGCCTTTGTCTCCCCCACCCACCTCTTGGGGATGTCGTTGGCCTCGCGCGAGCAGCGCAGCAGGCGTCCCTGCACCTCGACGCCCACGAGGAACGCGAGCATCAGCTGCAGCCCCGAGGGCTTCTGCCCCGCAGGCGCCGCCTCGGCCGCGGCGAGGAGCGCGGGGAGCAGGGAGCCCGACGGGTGCGTGGCGGGGTGCCACGTGTCGTCAAAGTCCATCGCGTGGATCTGGCCACGGGCAGGAGGCAAACGAGGTGTCATCGTCAGTCATCAGCAGCAGCATCAGGAGCAGCAGCAGAAGCATCGTCATCATCAGGAGCAGCAATATCACAGTCATCGTCAACATCATCATCATCATCGTGGTGGAGAATCATCACAATCCATGGCCTGCGCCTGACACGTGGCGTGCACGAGGTATCATCATCATTCTCATCGTCATTATAATCATCATGATGATCATTAGCATCATCATATGTTTTTACTAATCATCTACTAATTGTCATCATCACCACGATTAATCGGCAACATAATCAGCACGCTCATATTTATTCTAATCACCACAGTCATCAATATTAACTATCGAATAATCATCATCATCATGCCACTCACCGAGACCCCGTTGACGAAAGCCGCTGCCGAGGCTGAGAGTCGGACCCCGCTGGACCCCCACGCCGTGCAGGGGCCCCCTGCCGAGAGGCGCTACGGGCGGAGGGTTGGAGGGGAGGGGGTGAGAAGGAGGTCGATGTCAGCGATAGGAGCCACAGATCGAGGCGATTGCTTGAATTTGCATTCATTCCTCCCTCTATTGTTTAACATTGTCCTCGAGCCATCGCGTGCTAACGAGACTCGGTCAATTAATTCCACTGGAGATGCTGTGGTGGCAGATCCCAGGGCACCACGATCGCGCGTCACACGACCCCCGGGTCCCCGTGTCCCTGCGCCGCCCTCACCTCCCCGTGGCTCCGCGCGATTTGCGCCACCTCGGTGCGGGCGCCCAGGAGCCCCACGCCGACAGCGTCGAGCATCATGCGGGAGGCGCGGCTCCGAGCCACGGGGCTCGCGTGCTCGGGGCCCAGCCCGGCCGTGAGCTGCGCCAGCGACTGCGAGAAGTTGCCCTTGGGCTTCTCCCGTGGACGCCGTTGCTGCTGCTGCTGCTGAAAATGTTCCTCCGGCTGCTGCTGGAGCTGAGGTTTCTCTGCGGGAGCGAACACGCGGACTGGGCTCAGCGCCACGGATTCCGGATTCGTGAACAGAGGCGATGACGTCGCGGGGCTACTGCCGTTATCGTCGGGAGTCGTGGGGACTCGGGGTGTGAGTGGAGTTGGGGTGGAGTTGGGGTGGAGTTGGGGTGAAGTTGGGGTGGAGTTGAGGTAAAGTTGGGGTGGAGTTGAGGTGGAGTTGGGGTGGAGTTGACATGGAGTTGAGGGTGGAGTTTTGGTATAGTTGAAGGTGGAGTTTTGGTGGAGTTGAGGTGTATTTGAGGGTGGAGTTGAGGTGGAGTTGAGGTGTAGTTGAGGGTGGAGTTGAGGGTGGAGTTGAGGGTGGAGTTGAGGGTGGAGTTGAGGGTGGAGTTGGGGTGGATTTGGGGTGAAGTTGGGGTGGAGTGGAGGGTGGAGTTGAGGTTAATTTGAGGTGGAGTTGGGGTGGAGTTGAGGAGTTGAGGGTGGAGTTGAGGTTGAGTTAAGGGCGACATTTCGTGGGTCTCACCTCTGAGCTGGGCTCCACTGCCCCCGGTCGCGCTGTGGAGACCCCTGCAGCCCGGACCCCGCAGAAAGAGGATGGGGACCCTCGACATGGGTCGCGTCTGTGGGGAGGCGGAGAGGAGGCGGGGGGAGAGGCGGGGAGAGAGGCAGGGAGGAGGAGAGAGGATTGACACAGAGAGTTTATTCCTTCATATCCACTCATTGTCTCTGTCTGAATAATATATTTTGTCAGAATAATCGCGTGAAACAAATACCAACGAATTCACTTAATACAACATTTAATGCGAACAATATTGCACATGCTAACACACATACTAGTTCGCATTTAATAACACGATATTCAAATATAGTACCGCATGCGTGTTGATGATGTCGCGCAATTTCATATTTTCTCATGAATTATCATCGCAGTGTTTTGATCTACACACACAATGCGCGCGCGTGTGCGTGCGTGTGATGCAAGAATGTTTGTGCGCGCTTTGCGGTGTGAACACGGACGGAGTAGGCGGCTTGGGCAGTCGCGCATCGCCACGGCTCCACCCACAAGAACGTTTAGCCGGCAAAGCAGTCCGCCGGTTAATTTACGTTAAATGTTTAAAAAAAATTTTTTGTAACGAAATTGATTACGGAATACGAACAAGGATATATTTTCAGAGGCAATAATCATTTAATATTTGTGACTGTGGAATATCTATAAAATTGTCTTTAAAAATTATAGTCTATACATATTATAGACTGTATATAAAATTATAGACTGTATTTACTATTTTTCATAGATTATATACAAATTATAGACTCTATGTCTATGAAATATAACAGCCGTAGACGACCGTGTCTGCGTGACAGTTTCAGGCTGTATAAATATATATCAAAATATAACAGTTACAGACTCTTGTATGTGTATTTTTTTTTTAAATACACAAATAAAAAAATACACATACAAACACCGAGGCGGTGTCTTGCCCCAGCAATCTCACGCAGCACCCTCTCGTGAACGAGTCTTGAGACCCGGCGAGGTGCACGAGTAGAGAGCGAGGGGCTTGGGGCGCGCTCGCCGCCGATCTCACCTGTTTAGCGGAAAGCAGCAGCAACGCCGAGGAGGTCATGGTGAGCCGAGTGGTGACTTGAGTCGCGAAGAGGAGAGGCGGAGGAGGGCGTCGAGTCGGAGTCTCGTGAGGTCCACAAGTCGACGATGTCTTCTCCGTCTAGGAGTTCGCCCCTTATGTACCCGCGTCTCTGTGACCCCCCCCCCCTCCACTCACGTGACTAAAATTGAGAATCATGAGGGGGGGGGGGTGAGGATGTGAAAGGAAAGATGTGCAAATGCAGAGGGGGGTGGGATGGTGGCTGGAGATGGAGCAATGACAGCATCGTCATCATCTGCAGCATCACAACCACCGTAAAAAAAAGCAAATTCATTGATCAGCAGTCCGGAAATTCTTGAGAGTGTTTGGGAAATCCCGGCCGACGCAGCTTGCCCATTGGCTGAGAGATTAGGAAGAAACTGGGTTTTGTCGCCCGCCCGCTCACCTCACCCTCCACCCACGCCACTTTCCATCCCACGCACTCTCGTGACGGACGCATCGGGGGTTGGGCAAGAGTCCCCACGCAGTGGAGGGTGGAATTATTCCGTTTCCAAGAGTGACGTAATTCGTCACCTCAGAAAAGGGAAGTTTGGGGGAGGGGAGGAATAATGTGAGGAGGGGGAGAGGTGACAGGGATTGGGTGCGAGGGGGGGGTGAAGACAGGTGAGAGGTCTCACCTCCACCTCCTCCCCCTCCCCGAGATAAAGAGACTCTCCGTCGAGTACTCTAGGGTGGCAGAGACGCGAGAGTCTGACACGTTCCGCTTCGTATCCCGCAGACCCCGCGGACCTCGTGTCGCGTGTCTCCTCTCTCCGTCTCTCTCGCTTCTCTTCGCGCTATTTCGTCTCGTGTCGCGTCTCTCTGCGTCGAGACGATAGCGTCTCTGTTGCGTCTCGCGTAGCTGTGTCTCGTGTCGGTCGCGTCTCTGTGCGTGTCGCGTCTCTGCGCGGTGTCTCGTGTCGCGTCTCTGTGCGGCGTCTCGTGTCGCGTCCTTGTGTCGCGTCTTTGCGCAGCGTCTCTGTGTCGCGTCTCTGTGCGTGTCGCGTCTCCGCGTCGCGATGTCCGGCACGGGGGGTGAGAGCCGCGGTTTCGCCGCCGTGCTCTACAGCGAGCCCGGCGTGCTCGGCCTCCTCGCCAACGCCGTGAGCGCGCTGCTCGTGGCCATGCACAACTTCTCGTCGCACCGCGCTGCAGAGCAGCTCTCACCCACCAACAACATCCTGTCCGGTACGGGGGGGCGGGGGAGGTGGTGGCGATGAGAATGAAAGTGGTTTTAATGATGAGCATAATTACAGCGGTGGTTTCATGACAATGATGTTGTTGGTGGTTTTGATTGGTAACGATAGTCGTGGCGGTGGGTTTTACGACGGTGATGATGATGGAGTTTGAATGAGTGGTTTTAATGATAATGATAGACGTGGTTTGATGACAATGATGTGGGTGGTTTTGATTGATAACGATGGTCGTGGAGGTGAGTTTTACGACGGTGATGATGATGTTGATGATGGTGGTTGTGGAAGTGATTTTGATGATGATTATTATGATTGGAGACAGTTTAATGAGAGTTGTGATCGTGATAGTGTTGGGTAGTTTTGATGTAGGTGGTTTTGATGATGATGATGATGACAATCGCCGAGGTTTGTATGACGATCGTGATGCAGACGGCCTTGATGATTTTGATGATGATTATGATTTGATGTGGTGTCGGTTTTATCAATTGATGGTGTATGTGGTTATAACGATCATGATGATGGTTTATCAAATTGAATGACGATAGATCAATGGGAGCAGAAGAAGTCGGTCAAATTACATTGATAAGGACGACGGTGATGGAAGTGGATTTGATGATGACAAAATAATTGTTTTTGTGGTTTTTATTATGACAATGATGATACCGACGATAATGATATGAAATACATTTTGTTTGTATGATGATGTTGGTGAACGGTCGTGGTGGAAGCAGTCCAATTTATAGCGTTGGTGACCATATTGTTAATAATAATCCTAGCGATGTTGTTGTATAATGATGAAGGCAGCTCTATTACTCGTCACTCTCATCGACTTGCGGCACCCCCTACCACAATCACCAACCACTGCGCACCCCACGCGTCTCCCTCCCACTCTGACTCCTCTCCCCTCTCTCCGCCCTTCTTCTCCCTTCGCTCCCCCTCTTCTTACCTGCACACCTCCAGGCGTGCACCTGGTTCTCATCGGCGGCGTGACCCAGCTGGTGGCCGGCCTCCTGACCTTCCGCAAGTTCGACCACCTGGGCGGCACGGCTTTCCTGGCCTTCGCCGCACTCTGGAGCGGCTTCGGAGCTTCACGAATCATCTCCGGGGCCGTGACCCTCGCCGCCGCCGTCAACTCGACGGCCAACAACCTCACGGCCTTCGCGGTCGTCCAGAACGCGACGGCTCCCGACGCGTTCGTGTCGGACACGGCGGTGGCGAGCCTCGTGGCGTACATCTGCGTGTCGGCCATCCTCGCCTTCTGCTCCGCCACGGCCAACTACATCATGCCGCCCGTGTTCGGGGCCATCACCGCCGTGCTGGTGTTCGAGGCCGTGCTGGCCGCGTACCCGCTGGGCTGGGCGGCTCCCGTGGCGGGCTCCCTCGAGTTGATCATCCTCGCGGCGGGCCTCTACGGCTCAGTGGCGCTGCTGCTCAAGGGCATCACGCAGCGCTACGTGCTGCCGGGCTTCGGCAACGCGCTCTTTAACGTCCTGCTGCTGGGCGCGGGCAAGGCGGCGAGCGGAGGCGGCGGCGGCGGTGGAGGCGGTGGCGGCGCGGGTGGCAACGAGCGCAAGAAGAACACCAAGTACGCCGAGCCCATGGCGCTCTGCTGTCTCTGCGACGCCGTCGCCGCCGTGATCCTCGCCTTCTACTGCTTCGGTTTCCCGCACACGTTTACCGCGGGCGCGCTCTGGCTCAGCGTCAACTCCGGGCCGCAGCTGCTCGCCGCCTACTACGCGTTCCTGCGCGAGGACGCGTACCACGGGGCCAAGTCGGTGCTGCGCTGCGTCTTCTGGCTGGTGCACGCGTGGCAAGAATTCGTGGTGTCCACCGAGCAGGTCGCCCTCGCCTCGGCTGCCGCGGGCGAGCTCGACTCGGCGCAGCTGGCGATGGTGGGCGACTGGTTCCTGCTGGTGGCGGCGGTCGTGCTGCTGCTCGTGTCGCTGGACAGGGACGTCCTGGAGACCGCCGAGAATTCGACCTTCGCGCTGCTCGCCGTGGCGGCCATCCCGCAGATCCCGGCGAGGGCGCGCTACGCGTTCCTGGGCGCCGCGTGCTGCGCGCACGCCGCCGTGAGCCTGTACGCGACGTTCGCCCGGCTCATCAACTCCATCGCCGAGAAGCCGCTCGTCCCCATCGGAGCCGTGCCCCTCACCACGCAGCGCCTGCGGGCCTTCCTGGGCGCGCTCCGCAGGTGCTGCTGCAGCAGCAGCAGCGGAAGCAACGACGAGGCGGGCAACAACCAGCCCGGCCCCTCCATGGCGCAGCTGTCAGACGCCGCGTTCTACCTGTGCAACGGCGTGGCCGCGATGTCCGCGCTGCACTCGACGGAGCCGCTCCGCGCTCGCCTCTCCCTGCCCTGGGTGCTGCTGCCCGGGGCTCTGCTGCAGCTGTTTGTGGCCCGGGTTGGACTCCTGCGCCCGGCGTCCGGCGGATCCGTGATGCCCTTCTGCTACGCCGCCTTCTGGGCTGTGTGGGCTTGGCTGCGGCTGGCGGGTGAGCGCTGATGGTTGAATGATGACGATGCGGTTGCTTTTTGAGGTATTCATTTTTTTACGATAGGATTTGGGCGTCTGTTTTGACGGCTAAGGCAATGCTCAGGTTACGATGATGACAGTGATGTGATTTCTGTGACGTGGTAGTTGAATGATGATTTGGTTTGTTTGCAGGTTTCTCCCTGAATATTTCTCCAGGCGATGACACGGGGTTCACGGCAGGGGCAATCGCTGGTCTCATCATCAACATGTTCCTGATATTACTGGGTGAGTGACACTTTGTGAGTGTGTGACACTGGGTGAGTGACACTGGGTGAGTGAGTGGAACGAGGTGAGTGAGTGACACTAGGTGAGTGACACTGGGTGAGTGAGTGAGTGACAATGGTTGAGTGACACTGGGTGAGTGAGTGACACTGAATGAGTGAGTGAGTGACAGTGGTTGAGTGACACTGGGTGAGTGAGTGACACTGGGTGAGTGATGACAATTGCCGCTCACACAGTCTCCCCCTCCCCATGCCCCCGTCACCCCCTCGTCCTCCACAGCCGCGTACGGGAACCTCGTCCTCCTCTTCCACACGCTCGTCATGCAGATCCTCGTCGTCTGCCTCCTCCTCTTCACACTCGAGAGCCTCCCCCAGCCACTAGAGGGTGAGGACGACGAAGATGATGACCACAGCACGACATCCATCAACGCATCACTGACTTGTCACTCACCACTGATCACCATTGATCATCGCTGACCACCCCCCACTCTCCCCCCTGCTTTACTCCCCCCCCTCCCTCCCCCTCCAGACGTGATGCTGGCGCTGCTGGCGCTCAGCTGTGTGTACGGGGCACTCGCATCGGTGTCAAACTGCGTCTTCGAGAGGCAGCTGCTGCCCCTGGGACGCGCCCTGCTGCGGGTGAGCGGGACGCCACGGGGAGACATGGGGACACACGGGGCGACACGGGAAGACGCGGGTACACGAGGAGACACGGGGGGCATGGAGACACGGGGAGACACGAGGGCAGGGGGATAAAGCGATGCAGTCAGAGACACCGCAGAGCGCTCTGCGTCCGCGCGTCTTCACGGAGACGCGGCGCCTCCTGCTGGCAGCGCCCGCAGTGTGTGTCGCCTCTGCAGGAAATGCAACGAACGCACGCGCACGCACGCGCTCGCACGCACGCGCGCGCACGCACACACGCGTGAGTGCAACAGTGGAGATGAATCACTCCTAGACGGGGTAGGTAACTCGGGGGTTCCTCACCTGTGCTGATTTATTCATCGGTAGCTCATTGAGTCTCTGTCCACATGCTTCCACCCGGTCTCCGTCTCTGTCTCCCACGCTCTTGTAACCCCCACCCCCAATTCCCCGCATCTCCCCCTCCAGGCCCCCGCCAGCCGCAGCTCGCAGACCCCCGCGGCCCCCCCGTGCGTGACCCCCGTGTCGCGGCGCACGAGCGGCCTGCGCGAGATCGCGGATCTGCTGGGGCGAGGGTCGGTGTGCGGGGTCCCCACGGACACCGTGTACGCGCTCGCCGCCTCGTGCCGACACCCGGGGGCCATCGAGCGCATCTACGCCATCAAGGTACTCGAGGAGGTGGCGGGTTACTCGTAGAACGCGGCGGGGGTAACGGCACCTACCGCCGTCTAGGTTCGAGGTCACGGGTTGGCAAATCGGAAAATGTCGAGAAGAGAAATTTGTTTAGAATTCGGCAAAACAACAAAAGGCGGCTCAGTGTCGGTAGAGTCGCACGCGGGAGCCACAGGCTGCCCAGCCCAGCTCTAGCTACTCGCACAGGGCTCGTGACGTGATCAGAGTACTCCTGTGGTGATCGCAGCACTCTCTGGGTACCCGCGCTGGACGAGATCACTCCCCCACTCCCCCACAGTAGAACTTTAGGGGGCCAGGGGAGGGGTGGAGAGGGGGTGGGGTCCTACACTGGTGACCCGCGAGCAAAGATTATTAAATGGTTCTCTGTTCTGTTTGCACCCCCCCTGCACCCCCCCCCCCCCCCCCCCGCCTGCAGGACCGGCCCCAGGAGAAGCCGGTGTGCATCTGCATCTCGAGCCTGGAGCAGCTCGCGTCCGTGCGCCCCCCCTTCAGCCCCCTGCTCTGGGAGTTCATGAGCGGCGTCTACCCGGGGGGCATCAGCTGCATCGTGCCCAAGGGGGACTGGCTGCTGCGACTCGGTAACCTGCACTGCCGATGAGTCTCGCGACGCGCGGGTGCCGGTGGCCGATGCTGATGGTGCTGCTGGTTATGATAATAATGATGATGATGATTGTAAAATAATGATAGTAGGAGATGGTTATGATGATGATGGTGGTCATGATGGAGGTGGCTTTGATGGTGATGTTCATGATGACGATGATGATAGTGGCAGCAGTGGTTTTCAGTCTGATAACGCTGCTGCTGATTATGATGATGATGATGCTATCACTGATGATGATGATGCTATCACTGATGATGATGATGCTATCACTGATGATGATGATGCCATCACTGATGTTGCTGCTGAAGCTGCTGCTGTTTCTGCTCCCGCTGTTTCTACTCTTGCTGCTGTCCTTGTTGCTGTACTGACCTCCCCCACCCCTCCCTACCTCCGTGTGCCCAGGTGTGGGGGAAGCGTACGACCTGGTGGGCACAGCGGACAGCATCATGATCCGCGTGCCGGACAGCACCGTGGCGTCGCACCTCGTGTCCATGACCGGCCCCATCGCCATCACCTCGGCCAACCCGAGCGGGGAGCCCGACAGCACCCACCACGACATGGTCATCCGGTGAGCAGCAGAGCAACAAGGACGCAGCAGCCACAACCACTACCACCACCACCTCCACCACCTCCACCACCACCACCACCACCACCTCCACCACCACCACCACCACCTCCACCACCACCACCACCACTACCACCTCCACCACCACCTCCACCACCACCTCCACCACCACCACCACCACCTCCACCACCACCACCACCTCCACCACCTCCACCTCCACCACCACCACCACCTCCACCACCACCTCCACCACCACCACCACCACCTCCACCACCTCCACCACCACCACCACCACCACCTCCACCATCACCACCACCTCCACCACCACCACCACCACAACACACACTCACGGCGGCAGTACCCGCCGCAGTGGGTCTGTGCCGCGCTCGCTCCGCTCCGTGTTGAGAGTCTCTCTCGCCGGCCCCCGCAGGCGCCTGGGCGACAAGCTGGACGGGGTTCTGTGCGACGGAGACTCCAACGAGTCGGTGGCGTCCACCGTGGTCAACTGCCTCGACATCGACGGGGGTGAGCGGCACACTCGCGCTTGTCCGCGTGCGAGCGCCTGCATCGAGCCGTTGGCGACACTGGCCGCCCGTGCGCCGTGCCGACACAAACGGGCGCTCCCTGACGGAACTTGCCCCGGACGGCCTGTTCAAAGGTTCCATGGAGGATCTTTGTCTCTGTGTGTACCGTTCGAGCGGTAGTTAACGCCCTGTGTTTACGAACCTGGCGACCTGAGTTCGACATCTCGGCCGCTGCTGTCGAGTGATAATCTGAACCGGTCCTGGGATTTCTCTAAGGTCGTTTCAGCCCTAAAAAAAGAAAACTAACGTGAATCTGGCTGCAGGTGTACACAGACGTCGGCGCTTGGGCAGTAGTCAATAGCCATACCGCCTGGCACCGTCCCGGCCTCACCAACAGCACTTGCGCCAGAAACTCGCGTTGTGGCAATCCGGGAGATCGTTATCCTAATTTCACTGTGGAATCCAACACAATGACGTGGATTATCATTGCATAATGCAGTGTTTCTTCTTAACCTGGGGTGCACACACCCCCTGCGGGTGCGAAATGCCCTTTCTGGCAGTGTGCGAGACACTGCCAGATAATTTCAGAAGGTGAATCATCGAACCGCAAATTAAGTACAACTACTTTGTTTATATTCTTGGTTCTTTCGGTAAAGTCATGTAGAAGGGAAACAATAAAATAAAATAAATGCTTTTTATAAAATAAAAAAATGCTAATCAAACCTATGTATTTATTAAGATTATATATATTTTTAACGATTGGGAACCAAATGGTTGCAAGGCTGCAGAATAGGTTAAGAACCACTGGCTTAATGAAATATTAATGTGCACGTGCCTGCCCTCTGTATCTTCTGGCGGTACAAGAAGAGTAGTGGGTCTATTTATGTTTGCTTACGTTGAGCAAGCGAGGCGGTCGTGATAGGCAGAGCAGATGAAAAGGTTTTGAGCCTGGGGTTTTACCAAGGGCTGGTGGTTAACACGGTTGACTACGTACGGTGTGAAAGAAGTTCAACATACATACTTACAACTTATTACATTTTCCGGACACACAGCACAGGAAGTTACAGTGCTGCTGTTGATGATGCTGCTGCTGCTGATGATTTTAATACTGCTGCTGATGATGGTGAGGATGCTGCTGATAATGACTTTAATGCTACTGCTGCTACTACTACTGATGATAATGATGTTACTGGCTGATCATTATGACTTTAATGCTCCTGCTGCTGATGATCAATGTATACATGCACACTGAAGATAACATCTTAAAGGGATAAATAAAATACATCTGTGGTTGGGAAAAAAATAAACGACGGAGGTTTGAGAGGGTCCATCTGACGGTTCTCCTTCGTCTGCTTTCTTCGCAGAGGGAATCCGCATCCTGCGTGAAGGCTGCGTCCCGGCGGCCAAGGTTCACCAGATCTTCGAGCGAGTGAAGGCGCAGAGAGATTGAGGAGGCGATAGGCGACCCAGACAGGAGTGAAGACCGGGAGTGCAGATGGAGTCACAATCACGGGGGGGGGGGGGGGGGGGGGGCAGGGGAGGGCGAGGTGGTGCATCGGAAATAATCTTGGTTGAAGATTATCAAAAAACTAATATTGCGTTGACACTCAACTTCTGGAATTAAAACAATTAATTCGGGGGTTGGGGGGTGATGGGTACACGTCGCGGGCTGTGTAATGTTTGAACGTAGGCCAGCTGCTAAAGTGCGCGCCTGGAGGTTTGCAGCAAGGGCAGTGATCGCATTATTAAAGTATGACATGCGATTTTTGGCAAGTGGAATTGCCGAGTACGTACAGAAGATAATGAGTGTATATTTGTTTGTACATAGCATCTGATAAAAAATGTCTATTTAATACCATTAAGGTTCGATAAACTGTTATAGTCTGAGTCTCAAACTGCTCTTCAATGCGTCGCCATCGATATGCAAAAAAAACGAAACTTGAACTCGCGAAAATCGCGTCTCGTCGTGCGCATTGAACGCGGCCCGGTTCGCGTTACAACCTTCTGGCGCTAGAGACCGCTACAATCACTACAATGTAAAAAAAAAACGTTTAAATTATGAAAGAGTCGCTCCTCCGTTTACATTTATTCCCGACTGCTTATGTGTGTGGATGGTGGCACCGACTCCATGCATTGACTAAACGATGGTGTTTGTTCTCACGATTAGCTGCCAATGACAATGATAATTTTATGATGACGGTGTTGGTTATAATGTGGTGAGGATGACGATGGTGATGATTGTTGTATGTGTGCTTGTTGAACTTACGCAACCGACCGTGCTAATCGCAGGTGCAGGGGAAGCACAACAAACTAACAGAAACAAACTACAGTTCTAAAGAAGTGAGTTTTAAATGTAGATTTAAAAGTGCCTACCTCCAATGGCTTCCTAACATTGGGAGGAAGAGCGTTGTGATGATGAATTGTTGATGATTGCGATAGACAGGATGTTGGTAAATAATGTGGTGGTGATGATGGTGATGGTTATGATGGTGCTTGTTATTGATGCATGATGAGAGTGGTGATGATGATGATGATGAAGTAAGGAATCAGGGAACTATAATTGCGCAAATGTCCCAGTGCAATAATGATTATGGGATGCTCAAAACATAATGTTCGTTGTGTTGTTGTTGTGCAGCGAGGGGCGCATGTCGTGATCGCTATTTATTCTGTGCTGTACACTGGTGTTGTGTTGTTGTGCCTATGGACGGTGCTGGATCACCAACAAATACAATGCATTTCACCAATAACACCATCGCCTCGTCCACTTGTTTCGCTTCTACCGCACGGCATGCAGCACGCAGACGAGACAAACATGACCCCCAGTGTAGCATTAGCAGACGTTGGGGGCAGCGGGGGTGGGGGGGGGGGGGCAAGTGCTCGCAAGCGTAATGTGAGAGCAAGCGGGCACAAAAAAACACGGAACAAAACACAAGGTTCTAGGTACACGTGGAAGTAATCTTTGTATTTTGAGTCAAACGGGGACACAAAAGACACGCGAGTCGATCGCACGATCAAACCCGCAACACACAGAAAGGTTAACAAACAAAGAAATAAAAGATAACATGAAAACATGTCTGGCAATTAAACAGGAGATGTTATAGCTGTTCAATCACACAAATATAAACTTTTTGCAAGGAATCGATTTATTGCATTGACCACACACGGCACTTGTTGTGGTGAACACGCAAACAAACTCGCTCTGATTATAATTATAGATGGCATTGTCTTTGAAACTGATTGGTCTACACCAGAGACGGCCTTCTTTAGTAGGGGCACTGTATAACCAGTGGCAGGCCAGAGACTCGATTCCTCGCAAAACGTTTCTATTTGGTGTTTGAACATCTTAACTCCTGTTTTATTGCCAGAAGGGTAAAATTTATTCTTATTTTTGTTTATACTTCGATACTGGAAGAAAGGTCCCAAACAAAAAACAGTCGGTCGTTTGCACGTTAATAGAAGTAAAAAATAGAATAATCAATAGTTCCAGAAGAACTGCTTTCTGGGCCTCCTTGTTGTCTTTGGTGACCATCAATTAAATTTGAACAAATAATAATAGTTGCAGATAATGTAGAGCCTTTCATAATATAAACAGCTTTGATATGTGGCTTTGTCGAACGACCAAAATAATATGAATTCCTGCAGTCACGAAAGCTTTAAGTCAAGACTTTCATAACATATCAAAGCTGTTTATATCAATGACAAAGGGAGGGGGGGTGTAACAAGTGGCCGAATTAAAATACGAATCACCTTCTGATAGAAGAATGTCTATAGACGGAAGCAGTTGAAGATCCTAATGGAACCAGACGTTCTGAAACAGCTTTCGGCAGAGAGTTCCACAGTCGAGGTGGCACGGGAGCGAAGGCCCAGAAATGTCCAACGGCGGTGCCATTCCCCTGAATGTGTCTGGCAGATGTCCATGCGTCTTGCCAATGCATAACACGTGGCGTATTCCCCTGAATGTGTCTGGCAGATGTCCATGCGTCTTGCCAATGCATAGCACGTGGCGTATTCCCCTGGATATGTCTGGCATTTGTTCATGCGTCTTGCCAATGCATGACACGTGGCGCATTCCCCTGAATATGTCTGGCAGATGTTCATGCGTCTTGCCAATGCATAGCACGTGGCGTATTCCCCTGAATGTGTCTGGCACATGTCCATGCGTCTTGCCAATGCATGACACGTGACGTATTCCCCTGAATATGTCTGGCAGATGTCCATGCGTCTTGCCAATCCATGACACGTGGCGCATTCCCCTGAATATGTCTGGCATTTGTCCATGCGTCTTGCCAATCCATGACACGTGGCGCATTCCCCTGAATATGTCTGGCATTTGTTCATGCGTCTTGCCAATGCATAGCACGTGGCGTATTCCCCTGAATATGTCTGGCATTTGTCCATGCGTCTTGCCAATGCATGACACGTGGCGCATTCCCCTGAATATGTCTGGCATTTGTTCATGCGTCTTGCCAATGCATAGCACGTGGCGTATTCCCCTGAATATGTCTGGCATTTGTTCATGCGTCTTGCCAATGCATGACACGTGACGTATTCCCCTGAATATGTCTGGCAGATGTCCATGCGTCTTGCCAATGCATAACACGTGGCGTATTCCCCTGAATATGTCTGGCATTTGTTCATGCGTCTTGCCAATGCATGACACGTGGCGCATTCCCCTGAATATGTCTGGCAGATGTCCATGCGTCTTGCCAATGCATAGCACGTGGCGTATTCCCTTGAATATGTCTGGCAGATGTCCATGCGTCTTGCCAATGCATGACACACGGCGTATTCCCCTGAATGTGTCTGGCAGATGTCCATGCGTCTTGCCAATGCATAGCACGTGAGGAAATCGTTTATTGCACGAGTAAGGCAGCACGCATATGATAACGACTGCGCTTGTTTTGTTATTGTTGTTAGATATATGTTATTTATTTCAGCAGGTTCTACATTCACGAGAGTGCTCCACGACACGGCCCCAGGTCTCAGTTACAATCACGGTGACGTGCCGCTTGCGATATGAACAGCGATCGCTTTACACGTTAGAGGGAGTGGATAGCAACCGGTACGAAAATGTAAAATAAAGAACCAAAATAAAGGGGAATGTCATTCATGTGTCTATGTATTTATCTATTTACGTGTTTATTTCATACCGTGTCAACTCATACGGTTTACCCGTATCCTCGCACAGGGACATTTAGTTTTCAGGTCCATACGGCGATGGGAATTTGTAGGATGAACATTGAGATTCATAAGGGCACGGAGTGATTGGTCTGTAATAAGGTAGGGCACTGATACGGGGTTGACAGGTTTGTCATTTATTGATACCAACACAACACACCCAGCAACCGGGAACTTTAAGTGCGATCCAGAGACTCGGGGAGCCACGCTTCTCTTTCCCGGTCGCGGAGGGAATGAGCACGTGAGGCCCTGGGGTCCCGTGCGACTTGCACAGATATGAGACGTGGTAGCCCTCGCGGTCACTCTGTGCAAGGGCTGCTGCCGTGACGAGGTGTTCACTCCCTCGCTAGGTCTGTCAACCCCTTATCAGTGCCCTACCTTAATACAGACTAATTCAGAACTTATTGGTCAACCCGTGCCCCTTATAAATCACAATGTTCATCTTACAAAGTCCCATCACAAGGGAAAAAAACACAAACACATAGACAAAAAGGTTTTTTTTTTGTTTAACTCAATTTCCCTGCATAAGAATACGGGTAAACCCGTATGGGGTGACAGGTAGGCGTCACGGTGTCGGATCAATGCGGTTTGAGTTTGAAGGAGTCGGTGGTGACTCACACGATGTGGGGTTGGCCCAGGGCACGCCCCCCCACCGCCCTGCTTGCACACGATACGATTTCCATGGGTCGGCCGCGCTACGAGTACTACAGCACAGTGCTTGTGATTAAAGTAATAACATAATGCGTTGTATTTATACAGACAGTCCCGCGTTACGGAAACCCCGACTTACGGAAACCCGACTTCACGGCAATGCACCCATAAGTCATTTGAAAAATGCAGTACAGGACTGTATACGTAAATGTTGGCATTCGTTGCGTAAGCACAAATAATGCATTTTATTTATCCAGGCAGTCCCAGAGTTACGGAAGACCTAACTTACGGAAACCCGACTTCACGGCAACGCTCCCATAAATCATGTAACAAAAATTCTACACAGTACTGTATGCGTAAACGTTTCAATTAGTTGCGTAAGCACAAATAGTGTAGCGAGCGCGGTGAGGTTGCGGATGAATCCCGCGGAGCCGGGCATCAGGCGGGTCACGTATTCCCCAAGGCGGCGGTGTGTCCTGTCGACCACTCTGAGTCACGCTGTTTCATTGTGACCCTGAGCAGACTCTACCCGCCACATCGTCTCGTTTCCTTTGTAGCATTACGTAATTACTCTTTGGTTCTATTCGGTAAAGTCACGTAGGTAAAAAAATAAAACAACAAAAATCACGACGTTTCGACCTTTACCGAATAGAACCAAAGAGTATGAATCCTTGCAGTCACGAAAGCTTTAAATCTAGAATTGCATTACGTAATTGTTTGTTTCCTATGCTTCGCGGTATTAAAAAACAATTGTACCAGTACAGAATATGTTCCATTAGTTTCATTATGGGTAGCGTTAGGGTGGATATTCCATCAAATGAAAAATAATCATAGGAAACCCAAGAGCGTATGTGCAGCGATACGATCCGGGTAGCTATATAAGTATATACACACGCGTAGTATTCTAACTTAAATAGCTCAACCATTTTAGGCAACGCTGACAAATATCCTATCAGGAATATGATGCTGATAAGGCTGCTGATGCGTGTATGTAGAACTTCTTTCGCATCGTACGTAGCCAACCGTGCAAATCGGTGGTGCGAGGGCTGGACACCAAACTTAACACGAATGAGAATGATCATCAGTTGTAAGGAAACGGTGAGGATGTGGCTCTGCCATCCTCATCACGTGCGTGGTGAGCGGCGGCGCAGCGGTCGAGTGAACTGCACCAATAAATCTGGCGACCCGAGTTGGATTCCCCGACCACGGCCTAACATCAGGGGCAGAGTGATGATATCTGAAGCGGTCCAGGGGTTGAATTAAAATAATCCCAGCATCATCGCCTATTGATGACCACAAACTTCACCGACCTGCGCTTACGAGCGCGGTGAAGCGTTGTGAAGCGTGGTGAAGCGTGGTGAAGCATGGTGAAGCGTGGTGAAGCATGGTGAAGCGTTGTGAAGCATAGTGAAGCGTGGTGAAGCGTGGTGAAGCGTGGTGAAGCATGGTGAAGCGTGGTGAAGCATGGTGAAGCGTGGTGAAGCGTGGTGAAGCATGGTGAAGCGTGGTGAAGCGTGGTGAAGCATGGTGAAGCGTGGTGAAGCGCGGTGAAGCATGGTGAAGCGTGGTGAAGCATGGTGAATCATGGTGAAGCATGGTGAAGCGTGGTGAAGCGTGGTGAAGCATGGTGAAGCATGGTGAAGCGTGGTGAAGCGTGGTGTGGTGAAGTGTCGTGAAGCATGGTGAAGCGTGGTGAAGCGTGGTGTGGTGAAGTGTGGTGAAGCGTGGTGAAGCATGGTGAAGCGTGGTGAAGCATGGTGAAGCGTGGTGAAGGAACTACCGGTGACTGACAGGACGTGTGGGCGAGTGGGGGGGGCAGCGTAGCGGAGGCATTCATTCATCCAGCAGTGGATTGGCAAGTGAATGTGAACCACGAATTTACAATAAATGCTGCGTGACATTTGACAACATAATT